TACCCTCTTCCGAATACCTTCCCGTTTGAGCCACGTTTTTAACATCGTTCAGCTTTCTTCTTTCTTTAGCCTGCTTGCAACGTTCGCTAATCGTTCGCGGGTGTATGGTCGTCATTAGCAACCGCCAGAAATAAAAATAATTTTAAAAAATCGTTTCTAAATCTAAAAACAACAATAGCATTATGAACTTTATTAAACCACAGTTTCAATTATCTCAAGCTTTATTTTCATTCGTTGTAGTATGATTTAAGCCTCAAACTGATGCCCTTGTCCCTTAGCCTGTTTTAAATTGAAGTTGTCTGAGGTCCTTACCACAGCTGCTCTTACAGTAATAAGTATTGTACCTTACTGTCCCAAAAATGCACAATTGTAGTGACTGGCTTTCGTCTTTTTGTTTACTTTAGTTGTGTTTTCTGTATTTTTTACGTCTGTGTTTATGAACCGTTGCTGCCTTCTTGGGCCAGGTCAGGCATTGTAAATGAGATTTTTGTCTCAATGTTTTTAATAAATAAAATGTAAAAAGAATAAATTATTTCAGATTCTCCGCGTACACTAGCGGGAAAACTGGGCCGTACCACCGGTGGTATCCGTTACCACAGGTTGAGAACCACTGGTGTACAGTAAACTGTGATGTGTTTTACAGCAGCTGCTCCTCATCTCTCCTCAGCGCTGAGACGGCCTCTCCATCGCTGCCGGCCGCCTCCTGAAGCTCCCTTTGCTTCCCTTGATAACTCTGGAAAAACAACATGTTATCTTTCATATTATGCCACAGAAAAAGGTGATCTATCTACCGCCATCAGAATCCACGTCCAGTCGATATGGAGGCTGCCGCTCACCTCAAATCATCTTCGTAATATCTATCAAACTATAGTCCTACATATCGGACTGGACGTGGATTCTGATGGCGCTAGATAGGATCACCTTTTTCCTGTGGCATAATATGAAAAGATAACATGTTGTTTCAGAGTTACAAGGGAAGCAAAGGGAGCTTCAGGTGAGCGGCGCAGCGGATGGAGGAAGGCCGTCTCAGCGCTGAGGAGAGATGAGGAGCAGCTGCTGTAAAACACATTCACAGTTTACTGTACACCAGTGGTTCTCAACGTTGGTACGGATACCACCGGGGTACGCCAGTTCCCGCTAGTGGTACGCGAGGAATCTGCAAATAATTTATTCTTTTACATTTTACTTTATTAAAAACATTGAGACAAATCTCATTTACAATGCTGGGACCTGGCCAGAAGGCAGCAACGGTTCATTAACACAGACGTAAAAAATACAGAAAACACAACTAAGTAAACAAAAAGACGGAAAAGCAGTCACTAACAATTTGTGCATTTTTGGGACAGTAAGGGTACAATACTTATTACTGTAAGAGCAGCTGGTGGTAAGAGACCTTCAGACCAACTTCAATTTAAAACAAGGCTATAGGACAAGGGCCATTCAGTTGAGGCTTAAATCCATTACTACAACGAATGAAAATAAGCTTGAGATAATTGAAACTGTGGTTTAAAATATTTAAATAAGTTCTAATGGCTATGGTTGTTTTTAGATTTAGAAAATTGGATTTTTTTAAAATATTTTTATTTCTGGCGTTGCTAATGACGACATACTACTCCGCGGAACGATTAGCGAACGTTGCAAGCAGGCTAAAGAAAGAAGAAAGTGAACGATGTTAAAAACGTGGCTCAAAACGGGAGGTATTCGGAAAGAGAGGTACAGAGGAGAATCATTACCAGGAAAGTGAACAAGTGAATGTGGAGGAGGACGGTCATCAAACCGAGCACAAGCGTCAGGCTCCGCTAGCAAACGCAACCAGTGATATGCACAGGCCTGTATGGGAGGAGCCAACTATTTTTCTCAGGTGGTACTTAAAAGGTTTGAGAACCACTGCTGTAGACAATGGTAAAGGCTTGGATGTGGAATACAAAAACTGCATTCAATATAAGCATCGATAAATTCACAAAATTGTAACAAATCCGAAACCAAAATAGGTTTCATTTTAAAAACTTTTAACTAAAAATGAAAAAAAAGAAAATCCACCATCCAACACGAGCAACTGACCCAAGGTTTGTGCAACGAGTTTTGAAATTGTAAAAATAACGTATCTTCTACATACTTATACTATGAATGTATTTTTCCCAACCTATATTATGAGCTTTTTACAGACCCTGACTGAAGTGATAACAGTGTGAGGCTTCTGGGAAACTCTTGTTTGGCTCAGGGAGGGAAGTGTTGGTTTACTTAGGCAACTAATAAATGTAAAACAAATGCAAACATATTGATAACTTATCCAACATGTTTTTATGATATTTTCAACATTAAGTAAATTGTTCCATTGTTAACTTTTCTTACAGTTTATTGAAAACCAAAAAAATCACTGCTACTGGATCTTTTCTGTGAAGATAGTTGCATCTCTGGTTTATCAATGCGCAAAAAGGAGATTTTTCCTTAAAAATTCAAATGTCTATGTCATCCAATTCTCTAACGCACTATGATACCATAAAACAACATTTGTTTCCTTCCTTTGTTTTTTTGCAATATATTTATTTAATATTGATAAAAAAATACTTGTTTTCAGGAAACCAACTTTTTTGTCATTTATTTGGAAAAAGGTCACAACATTGAATGGCATTTCATAATACGCAGTATCAATTATAGTTTCTGAATTTGAAGGACAAAATGTCCTGCATAGAAATGGCAAACATTTTTCTTTCACATTCGCACAGAATGTCGTTTAGGCTTAGTGTTGAAAATAAGTGCGTTTTCACATTACAGAAAGTTTTCATCCCACCAAGACAAAAGTCGACTCAAAGCTTCTGCAAGGCCTCCGTGTCTCACTGTAAACAGATTTAAAATGTTAACATACTTCTGAGAAAACGAATCGTTCTTCTGGTGTGCTAATCATGGACCAAATAGAGGAAGCTTATTTGAATGGTATGGAGTTGTATCTGCACAAAATAAGACCGTCTTAAGATGGTGGTATCTGTCATTTCACACATGTAATAGTTTAAAGGGGACCTAATCATGCAAAAATTCCACTTTTGTAACGTCTTTATACATGAATATGTTGTCCCCGGTGTTCCAGGGAACTCACCAAGTGTCAGAAAACACAACCCTCTATTTTCCTCCATACCCAAATCTCTTAAAAAGGGGCTGCAACGGATCTGATACAGACTGATCCAGATTTGAACACTTCTATGACGTCACAGAAGTGGCGCTACGGCTATTGGGCCAACTCCACCAATCAGGAGGAGACAGCCACGGACATTGCCGTTGGAAAGCGCTGGAGACGCTGTAGTACATATGCCAGGCCTGTAGGTGGTGCTGTTCTCACAGAATCAGCCCATGCAAAGACAGTGTTAAATTGAGCGAAATGAGGAATGGCTAAAATGCATGATCTGTTTGGTGTTTGGAAAAATAAAAAGTATAAATATTCCTTATATAGGTATGGTCCTACACTATGTTATTCAAATATAGCATGATAGGTCCACTTTAAGTATAAATCTCACTTCAAAACCAAAACAGCAGCACTAAGGATCTCTCTGGAGTTTGACCTAAACACACTTAAAGAGAAAATGTGCCACCTTTTTGTGGATGTCGCATCATTGGTAATTGTTAAGTTGGTTAATTAAAACAATGGGGAACTGGAAGAAGAATGGGGAGAAGATAAGTAAAAAATCTGAAAAGTCTGCTGTTTCTTAACCCAGTGCAGTTATTTAAAGTGACGTTGTTGGAAGTAAGGGAGAACTAAATGTTTCTTAATTGAATCAAAACGTGTGTTGTATAAGAGAATAAACTGCTTTCTGGAGGATTCAGCTTCCTGGGTCAATATAGCTCACACTGAGGGATTCATTGCCTTAATGAATTGGGACATTAAAGACGTTAAAAAGGTGGTACATTTTCCCCTGAATTGATTTATCAGTGTCCAGTCTTCAAAACACTTCCTCTGTCCCGACATCTAAAAGTGCAAACAGCCTTAAAATTAATTCTGAAAACCACAAAATAAGATGGCACATCCAAGCTATGATGCAGTCTTCTAATAAAAAGAAAGAAAATCATATTCAAACAAGTGCAAACACTAAAGAAGTAACTTGGTCAATAATAAGGTAAAGTGATATCAGGCAACTGGCAAGAATATTTCAAGTTGAAACAACTCGATCAAGCGATAGTAAGTCTCGCAATGCAAATAAACCCTGTGTTTACACAATGTGTGTAAAGTAAGAGGAAGTCAGACACAATATACTGCTGTGACTTCACTGTGTGATGTCCGGTCATGTCTGGAATGAAAGGAATAATCGGACAGTGATGATAATCTATGTAAAGTTTGTGTAACCACCCGTCAGAGGAGTGACAGAGTCCATTAGAAGTCCCTCCCAGGGTCTCCACAGCATCCTCCGCCTCTGAGTCTATAATGAGCTATGATTGGTCAGTTTTTAAAGGCTCCACAGCGGCTGGCTCGACAAATGAAATCTTTGAGCAGGTCGCCGTTAATCTGCCAGAAGGCGGCGGTCTGGGTCACCTCCGTCAGGTGGTTCACACAGAACTTAAAGCAGAACTCCTCCAGGTCCTGAAAAACAAAGATAAGAGCACGGATTAGCAAATACTTCTTCATGTTCTTTCAAATGAACCACTTATTTGGAGAGTTAGGGCCCGAGCACAATATCCTACTTGTTTGTTCACATCTTCAGGTCAGGAAAATACCAAAGCCAAAGTCTCAAGTATTATAAAAACAATGCAGTTTCTCAATGGTTCGCAGGTTTTATTTGAATAAAAATATGTAATTATTATAATACGTAGTGATACGTCTGATGCGCTGCTTGAGTGGCAACCTGTCACAGCATCTCCTACTCACCACTGAATTTGTTCTCATACATTTCCTTATGTAACAGACTTTCTGCAATATGTTAGCCTCCATATTTTATTCGTGCTTTTTATCTGCACTGTACCTTTAATGCAGTAATGCTGTAAATGTCCTGCTGTGGCATGAATAAAGGATTTCTGATGAGAGAGAATGTTTTCCTATAACTATGGGATGGCAGAGGAACTGATACAAACAGGTGATTGTTGGTAGGCTGTCGTGACCTCTGACCTCTGCATCGTAGCGCACGGCAGCCGCCAGCAGTGAGAAGGCGTTGCCCACGGTGATGCCTCTCTTTATGATGTGTTGACAGAGGCGCTTCAGACGGTTCTCACAGTACGACGTGGCCAAATCCAGCAGCCCTAAGAGAGCAGAGATAATAACATGGTAAGTTAAAGGGGCCTGTTGTCTTCAGATTCATATTAGTATGTTGTGTTGCTCCTGGGACATGTCTCCATGCTTTAATTATCAAAAAACTCTTTATTCTCCTCATACTGCCTGTGCTGCAGCACCTCTTTTCACCCTCTGTCTGAAACCAGAGCCCAGTCTGCTCTGATTGGTTAACTGGACAGCTCTGTTGTGATTGGTCAACTGCTTAGAGAAGTCCCGCCCCTTCGCCTATCACGTACAATGTGCTAGCTAATAGAAGCGTGAGTGTAACATATTGTCACTATGATCCGGATGTAAACAAAGGAGTCCAATGGAGGCGTTTCAGGCGGGATGTGAAAATACATGCTACACAACACACTACAGGAATGGGAAGCTTCAACAATCATAATATGTCCCCTTTAAAACAACCAACATTCAAACTGAAGTCAGTCAGTGTGTGCGTGGTTCTGACCAATAGCGTCCTCCGGAGGCAGCTCCACAGCGTCGGTGTAGAGGAACTCCAGGAAGGAGCGGTACACCGGATAGGAGAACTGATCGATTTCTATCACCTCCTTCATGTCTTCGTTCCAGTGCGACTGGAACATGGTCCTGAAGTGTTCACACCTGCACAGCAGCGTGTTTCAGGAGAGAAACTCAAGTTATTTCTTTATAGTCTAGTAAAGTTTCAGGACTCTGACTGACAGCTCTGAGATGAAGTCCCTGACCTGATTTTGAGAATGGCTTTGTGGACGCAGATATGTTTGCCGTCAACGCAGAACTTGAGGTCGGCTGTCTCCGGGTTGTCGAACTCTTTCTTCAGAGACTGAGCCACGGTCAAGAATTCCTCGTGCTCTGCAGGGAGGGAGGAGACGAGGACACACACACACACACACACACACACACACACACACACACAAAACAACAGCATATTACTTATATATCAAACTAACTGAGACTCAAGGATCACAGATTTGTTCTGTGTTTTTCATGATGATTTTTTTATTTGTTTATAATGTTTCCTGCAAAGAATTATGAACTTTGGTACTAATTATAGCACAAAGTCTGCCCAATCAGTACCATGCAATTTTATGACTTCCCTTTTAAATTAGAACTATTTATTGGGTGCACAAATATTTCCCTTTATACTGTACTTTTGTAATTTCTCTTTGATCTGGCATCTATTGGTAGCTTTCTTATAAACTGTGTTTCTATTAAGGCCTGTGCCTGTTATGTTACTAAACCAATAAAGATAATGGTGGAAATAATTCAAAAATGAAATGCTAAAACATTTCAGATTAGCTGAACCTGTGTGTACAGATGCTTCTTTAGTTTCAGACTGATGACATGCATGCCTGCACATATGAATACATAATACATAGATTTGTCTTTCTTTTATTACAACAGGTGAACATGGCTCCTGTGAGAAAGTCCAGTTAATGAATAATGAATAGGTATATACTCAGGGTTAGTAATTCTGGCAGTAACAAAGAACCACACCTGGAAAATAGTCTCTAGAAACATATGACTAATTTGAGGTTTATGTCACGTGCACTTAAGTCATTATTTTTATGTATAAATAAATATATTGTAAGTTACATTGTTGGAGGAGCCTGGGACTTAAGAGTTTTATTGCCAACAACTTTGCTTTCACTATTGTGCATTGAACACAATAAAGCCTTTGAATGCAGTCCTTTAATAACTACTATCTCTACATCCCTGTGCATATGGCAAACAGTCAAGTTGCACCTGATGGCCAACAGTGTGTGGATGTCATTCTCCTGAGCAGGTGGCAGCCAGTGCCTCTGTATGAATGTGTGTAAAGGGTAAAGAGATGCTGTATAAATAGAGTCCATTCACCAGTTAGCACATTAACCCTTTGCCTTACCCATAGAGAGAAGCTTCCACATGACTGAGGGCGTGGCGAAGCAGGCGAACACATCGTCGGTGCAGGTGAAGTGTGTGAGGAGGGGCAGCACGATGGACTGGCCCCTGCACTGACCCCACATGTACACCTGGCCGCTCTGAGTCTTACAGGCTGAGGTGTGTGTGGAGTGGCAGGCGGCGACCTCCACTATCCTGCAGGGGGGAGAGGAGAGAGTGAGGGAGGGAAAGACAGGGGGAGAGCAGTCTGTAGTGTCTGTGGTGACGCTCACCTCTCCTTCTCCGTCATGATGAGCAGCGGGCTCAGCTGGTTGCTCTTGTTTCCGGTGCCCAGCTGTCCGTAGGTGTTGGCCCCCCAGGCGAACAGCAGCCCCTCGTCTGTGAGGGCCAGAGAGTGGGCGTAGCCCGAGACAATCTGGAGAGAGACAGACACTCTAAGTGTAAGACTGTGAACAGCGTAAGAATGTAAACATGTCCATTACAGAAAGAAGTGTACAGATTTGAAAGCAAAACAAGCTACATCTGCTTCATGGTGAACAATAAAGTTGTCCTTTTGCTTACTTCAAAAGGGTCTCCATTCTCTTTACTTGTGCAACTTTTTAAATGTGAAGTCTTGCTCTGCTTCATATATTATGAATTGTATACCTTCTTGTATTCTTGGTAAGACAAAGGAAGGTTATCACTTTCGGCTCTTTAAAATAATAGTCTATTACCTGTACTGATAGGATTAAGGAGGTGGGATTTGAAAACCTGTTTTGAAGTCTTGAAGAATCCTAACATAGGAGTATCTATTTATTAGTTTACTGAAGAACAAACAAAGTGTACTTAGTGTGCTGTTGTCTTCTGTTATCGTCTCACTTGTTTTAAAGGGTGAGGGCCCATTC